GTTCTATATACTGTCCAAGTCATATTATTAATATTATTAATTTATCATCATTAATAATAATTATACTATACCTGCATTGCTTCATCATGGGAGCTAAACAGCGGGAATGGCGCTGTTGGCCTCGCGACTCCAATGCGTACAGGTGAAATCAGCGAGTCGGCTATTTCACACAATTCAGTGATACAGAAGTGAATCAGGGCAACAAATACTTTCTTGCACTTATCTGTAGCTTCCGAGTTACTGTAAAAAAAGGTTAAATATATTTTCATTTGTACAATATCAAGTTTTTGGTCATGAAAAAAAAATCTGTTGTGACAAGATTTTAACCATGACCCTGGGAATCAAAGGCAAACAGCTACATCTTCACTAAATCATTCAATAAGTGCCGCACCAAATATGGTTTTTTTCGCTAAGCACCGGAGATTATTCTATTTTGAATAAGCACTGTGGTTCTTAATTGAGAGTACATATTAGATCATGTGTAATGAAACACTTTGATAAATAAGGTTTTAAATTCAATGTATACAGTGTTCAAATGAATAAATAACACGATGAAGACACAAGCATATCTTTAAAAATGTTTATTTACGATGATGTACGACCTGTGATAGGTCTACTGAACTACAGGAATAGGTTAGATAGAACGCATGGAAATCACAATGTCAATAAATTTTTAATAAGCGCCGCTTTTGATTAATCACCACTCTTGAATAAGTGGCGCACTGAAGCCTCCAAAAATGTTATAACCACCACAGTGCTTATTCGAGGATTTACAGTTTACACTAACAGTGTCCATGTTTATGTACTTTCCTTTGCAGAGGAATAAATTGAGGGCATTATTAATAAACAGCTAATTGTGGCAGAGCCAAGGCAAAGGAGGGATAAGTCGAAATTAGATTATGTATTCATTGCCATTTGTCTGCTTGCAGGATTATGCAAAAATTAAAGAATGAATCACCATAAAAATGGTACATAATGAACTAAAAGTTGATTAAATTTTAGGTGAATAGGTCAAAGGGCAAATGTCACAAAAAATTATATTTTTTGTTAATACTTCTTAAAATTTTGAATTTAATGAAATTTCTGTATGAGAATTATTTTTGCACTTACTACTTCTTGCCCGGAGCCATTTCAATATTAAGTACAACATATACACGACACACGGACCGCACAAATCGTTGAACTACATAGAACACTTCCGTTTTCCTAGATGGTGCTGAAGTGTTGAGAATCTCCTTGATTAAAGTATTCAGTAATGTATCCAACTCCTGAAAATAAGTAAATAGTAATATGTTTTTGTTTTTTTATTTGTTTTTTGGTTTTTTTTAAAAGAAAACTACATTTTTTGATGCAATGTTGTAATTTTCATACAGAGCTCATAGATTAATGAGGGTGTTTGTCTAAATATAACAAAATATTTTGATTTTATGAAGCTGGGCATACACAGCATTGGCCGACCATTGGCTGGTAAATTCATCTACGTTCTGTGTGAGTACTTGATTATTTTAAGTTCGCTCTGGCAGGCTGTGCGGATTACATTGTTGCAATCTCCATGAAATTGAGTTGGCCAATGCAATAGGTACCTGCCTTTGGAGTCTTGATGATGAATCTGAATGTGGCTAACTCCATTTTACTATTTTGATGTGTTTGCGTCAGGAAAATATCATAGAAGTAATGTTTTAGTGGGGCAAAACATCACTCCATTGTACTAAAGTATCATTAAATTGACAATCTTTACCTTGTCTTGGCACTTCACTATGAGGGTGTGTGTGAACCAGTCTAGCTTCATAGTACCTTTCTGTTGATACAGGTAAACCTCTTCCTCTGGCATTGGCATCTGTACAGTGTTACTACCGCCAGAATTCTCCCTAAAGCAATATTGATAACATTCATTAGCTCTTTTTAAATACCATTTACCAACTTACACTCTTCTTTTAATCAATACAACATACTAGTCACACAAACCTACCTCTTTGCTTAGGCCACCCTTTCCTGCCTCACTGCTTAAACAACCCATCTCAATCTCATCAATTAGATCACCAATTCTTACATCATCGCTTAGTTCAACCATCCTTACACCTCATCTAATAAGACACTAATCCCTGCCTCATTGTTTATGTCACCCATCCCTACCTCATCGCTTAGTTCAACCATCCTTACACCTCTTATCTACTAAGACACCAAAATCCCTCTCTCATTGTTATGTCTACCATCCCAGGCCTCTTAAATCAATTTACCAAGCTTGTTGCTGTAAAAGGAAGAATAAATTGCGTAATTTTGCTTTACCTGATTGATGTGCTCTTTTCCTGTCCAGGTGAAGCTGCAAGTGTCATTACAGCAAAGGACGTACAGGGGTGAGGAATCCGGTTTGCTTCCAGGGGGATAGATCATCCTGCGGAATAACTCTTTGTCAAATCCCCCTCCTTCCTTCTCCTTTTGACTCTCCAGCTTGCTGCTAAGGAATTTGGCATTTGAAGCCACACGCTCAGCAGTGTCAAATAGTGTGAGGGCAGCAGAGTAGGCTTGGCAAGTAACAGCGGCCATGAATGGTGTATCTCCTTGTGCATCCCTGTAAAGTATTAAACACTTATGGATCAATTCTGTTGATTTTGTTTAGGATAGGCAGGTTCTTGAACATATTTTACACTTTGATAGATATCAATTCGCCTTTGGCTAGTGTGAGCGTAGATACCTAAAAACATGTTTAAAGAAAAATAAGTAAAATTGGTCATGGAAATTATTGCCTCTGTCTTAAGAATATTTTTTTATTTAATTTTTAAAATTTCCTTCTCATCCAACAGCAAGTACACTTGCCACTTACAGGATGGAATGATGCTTTATAAACCAAGTCTCTTTATGAGGCTTACGGAGTGAAGTTGTTTTTTGGGCGCGAGAAAGTTGCTGGTGTGGTAGGACTTGAACGCAGGACCCTGGAAATAGAGGGCAAGCATCTTACTAACTAAACTATTACTTCACTGTAATAAAAAAACAATGGATAATCAAAAAAAATTCTTCTATTCTATTTAATTTATAAACAAATATGAGACAGGACACCCTAAAATTGAACTAAATCACTGTTGAGTCGGGGGGCCTACCGCTTTACTGCTGGAAAGGTACTAATGGATGAAATACCTTGAGCAAAGCAGCTCAGCCAGATGAGGCACAAGGGCTTGTGATTCACACAGAAGTCTGAGGAGTCGATGGGCGTTGTTCTTACGATCCTCAGCTGACAACGAATGGGTGTTTGACACCGATGGAGCACTGCTACTGATGGAGCTATTGGAACCGGCAGTTGCACCAGAGCTTCCAACGCTTATGTTATCATCCTCCTGCTCCGCATACATCGGTGGATCAACCTGCGCCCAGTTAAGTGGGTGATGCAGGTTGGACACAGGTGGAGGTGCGTTGTGGAGGTCCTCTGGAATGACATTGCCTCCTGACCTGGAAGAGTTAGTAGCCCTACGCATCATCTCTCTCAACCCCATACTTTGAAAAAAGATCGAAACTGATTATAGTACAATTTATTCATAAAAATTTGCAGACTGTCATTTCTACTAGAAATAATTTAAGAGTATTTATTGGTAGAGAAAGTAGATTGGTAGTGGTAAAATTCATTTGATAAGTGTCAGTCAGCTTGCATTTATTCTGTCATGCTTATGATAAAATTTGAAAATCCTGAGCTCACTAATGTATAATTGGCTGTAAAGCATATCAAAGGTTTGTGACAGTGACAGTGCACCTACCTCCTTTGCATACTGTTGGGTGGCTGATTGCCAGAGCCTACAGTGGCGGCTGAAATTGCATTGGCCAACGTGTCCACAGCGTTGCTGATTAACTGCACGCGATTACTCATAGAATCAACGGCTGAACGTAAAGTACTCAGTACAGCACTCTCGCCAGTTTCTGAAACAAAGTATCTGCTTTGTTGAACAATTACTTCTTTAATAATTTCTCAATAAAAAGAAACCAAGTAAATTCTTTAAAAGCGAAAAATTACATAAAAAATAAACAGAATTCAAAACAAGAAAGAAAGTTGACAACACACACACACACTAAAATATACAAATTACAAAATATAATAGCTATCAATGAACATTACAAGTTATTATCACTTTACAGAAGAATGCACTAAATAAGTAAAAATTGTGCATTTTGAGAAAGAAAAATAGTGTCAGAGGTACAATGATGGCTTCATGAATAACTTATAATTAAGTTATTTTTATTCATTTTTTTTCTCTCACTGCATTCCCGTGTTTTTTACTGTAAAAAGTTAATTTGGGTAACTAATATGTTACCTACAGGATTAATGTGGTTTTTGCTATCATTTCCTTTCACATATCATGTACATATAACAATATCAGCTGCCATTACCTTGCTTTGGTTTATCACTGTTGCTTGTCGGATAACACATACTAATGGCCGCATGAAAGATGTTACGATTTCCATCACACCTTTCATCTAGAATTGCTCGTAATCGATGATCCTTAAGGGCAGGGTCTGTCTCCAACTCTATGTTACTAAGTACATGGGAAACTGAGTCATAATCACAGCGTAGGACATGCGGCATTAGTGTCTGGATCTGCAGGAACGATAGACATGCAATAATTATAAAATAAAGATAATTATAGTAATAATAATACATCACAAATATTAAATACATCATTAACCAATTTCAATAGTTAAAAAATAATTATTTCTTGAGTGAAAAAATAAATTATCCTACTTGTAGTGCAAGAACTACCACTGCTGCTCGATTCTTAATATTGTTGCTAGGTGTGGCTGCAACATGGTGACTACCCATACCAATGCATTTGACAGGGGGCAGGTCAGTCCACACAGGGTCACGGATTCCACCAATAGCATTCTTGGCAAGAGGATAGATGGTGCTGTTACCATCACGAAGTAAGGACACAACATCTTGAACATTCTGAAATACAACATCAAAATGTTATTTATTAGATTTTAATTTACATTCATTTACTAAGTAAATTAAAAATCATAAGATTACTCCACAATCAACCATGGCTTTTATGAGTTGAGCTGAATTAAATAATTGATTGCAATGTTAAGAAAGCCCTCCACCATATCTTCTTTGTTCCTTTCTTGTTGTTATACAGTGAAACATAACAAAATATAACCCAATATATAATGATAATTCAGTATCACTAGAATGGATTATTCTATTTATTTTTTTTTTGGGGGGGGGGGGGTTTAATCCATTTGGGAACATTGACGATTGTCAAATTGTCCAGAAAAATATTAACAAAATATTATATTATGCAAAAGGTAACTGTTTTAAAATCTAAGGAATTTATGTTATGTGATAAGTAAGGCAAATATTGACCCACTGTTCAGTAATTTAAATAATATTCATACTTTTTTCACTATGCTCTATATATAATTTTTATTTACATTTATATTATTCTTGCTTTTAACTTGCATTCTATTACTTACAGTGCTGCCAGTGAAGAGGGAAATTTCATCCAAACTCTGTCCTAGGAATGAGGTTGTACTTGTGGGAAATATGCTCTCTGTAGCAGGCTTACTGGAGCTCAAATCATAAACATGATAAAGAAGACGTGACCGCAGTTTAACCAACACATGAACACCTATGAAGAATATAGAGAAAAAATATATGTAAACAATTTTGTAATGCCACTATGTACATACAAACAAATTAATGACACTGGTAGACAATATTAGGTGTGCTGGAGAAAGAAGTATTATTCTATGGTGCTTAGTATAATAACTACATAGTAAACAACAAAACCAATATACAGGTTTATATTACAATATAGGAAATGAATTAAAAAACAAAAATAAATATTATCATACACTCACTTACAATGCATAAGGCTATATACAACAGATTAAATTTTTAAAGCAATTTACCTCTAACATCCACTGAAACACTAAGAATCTGTGCATCATCGGAGAGAGATAGTTTTTTAGGAGTTCGTTGGAAGCAATCTGGCACCTTTGGAACCAAGCCATTCTTCAGAACTTGGAGCTCATCCTTCCGGAGCAATCGGCAGTCCTGAAGGACTGCCGGGACTTCTGAATCTGCCGAACTATCTGCAACTGACTCCAAAGTAGGAAAGCGAACAGCAACGTAAGCGCCATCCACTTTCAGGACCTTCCCGATAGGAACCGTGTGAATATCTTCAACAAACACAACGTCCTTCAAAGGCCACACGTCCCACTCGTTCTTCTCGTTATCCTTGTTGGGTGTCGGGGAAGGACAAGGTCTCTTTGTTCCTCGTCCTACAAAATTGATTGAAATAACTTTTAAAAGAAACAGTATAATATGTCTTAATCACTCAATTCCATATTCATTGACGTGTACTTTAATACTTAACACAATCTACTGTACATACATAATAACAGCACCACCACCATATTTTTCAAGGAATTAAATCACCTGATAGGATATAAATGTTTACATTACAATTCAAAACAGAAGCGCCCTCTATGATTATTGTTCACTTCATGTGATTATATGGCCTCAATTGACAAACAGCAATAGCTGATTTTTAAGTATTATCAAAATTAAAGCTATTAAATTAAATAGAAATCCCTGTACGCAAGTCATCAAATTACATTATCCTGCTCTTTTGTAACTTTAATCACTTAATCATTTAATCAATTTAATCACTAAATCAATTATTGAGCCATAACTCTCTGTAGGGTTGAGTAAAACTGGCTTACTCTGGCCTGCTGGACTTGACACAATGGAGATCTCCCCACAGGATGATGCAGGTGATGGTGGTGGCCCCATATCAGTTTTCATCTCGGCCTTCTGGTCATTGGATTTACCATCAAGCTTTAGAAAATCCACTTTAACCTCTTCCTTGTGCTCTGGTTTAGGTTCCTCCCGGACCTCTGATATTGTTTTCCGGATGCGGAATCGACATGTATCGGTCAAGCTCCAGGCATTATCCATAAGCTGACCAACTTTTGGTTTTGCACCAGATGTATTAAAGGCTAAAGCACCTGCATGAAATAGTGGACAGCTGCGCAAACAGACCTTAAAAAAGAAAACCCAGTCACTTAACAAAAATACAAGCACAGTACATGAACACATCACTGTTTTCAACTATGATACACCAAGTGAAACAACAGAATACACAAATAAAGTGATATCGGTGGTAGAGACTTACTTGGATAAACTATTACCATCAATATTACAAAATGTAAATATCTTTGCAAATTTAAAAAATTGTAAACAAAATCAGGTGTCAGTTTCCAATACTTAGCTTTCCCCTTCCATTGAGCGCCGACCAGGCCTAGCACGAACCGGCAGTGCAGCAGCGTGTTTTACCACGCTAGAGCCTAGTTGAATTTATCTTGCATAAAATCCAAATTATTTTATTCGCTGCCATTGTTCCATTTAACAAAATATTATTTTAACTCTTATTCTAACATCCGTATGTTTATGGACCTTTTATCGTGCTCTTTCTAATTGTTAGATCATCGAATTGTGTTTGTTTACATGCATTTCGCAATCATATCTAGCGTTCACGATATCAGTTAGTTGCTTACCACAACACTCTCGTTTGCGTCATAGTAAACATGTGCACCCAATCCAACAACACTTGCATTGGTAGTTTGTTGTTCTGGTTAGATTTATTAAATTAACATAGTGATTATCATACCAGAAATGGAAGAAAAGTTTGAACTATTAATAAATAAATACAACAAACTTGATATAAGAAAAATATACATTACCACTTTGTAAAACGTGCGCAATCATTCCTTTTTTACAATAATAAATGGTCAATGATGAAGTCATCAGGGGAAAGACCATTCGTAAAATTGACTATTTGTAAAATAGACGTTTTACTATATTTATTTAACACATTAGTGGATGCCTTATATCTTATAATAAAATTGAACATTCAAAATTAACGTCAAACAAAATTACACATGTAAAATGAGTAGCTGTGTTACCTGTGTCCCTGTTGTGATGTTTGCTGTGCTCACTGTGTTCCTAGTTTTCTTCATCCTAGCTCGTTCCCTTGCCTTCTCTAGCACTTTCTTGCGCATATTGAATGGTAAAACACCCCTTTAAATTAAAGAACATAAAATAACTACGCAGTCAATTTTTAAAAATATTTAGAATGTTCAGAAAGTTATATTTTACTATTCATAATACTGTATTAAGATAGGATACACAAAGTGTAATGTATTGCATGTAAAAATGTAAACAAGGAGTAAAGGTGTGGGTCGTGTAGGGGTCAAGCTTCCAATCTATTTTTATCTATTTCCAGGAGTATAAATGGGTACCTGGCAGATTGTAAATTATTTTTTTCCTTTTGCATTTATATACCTCGGTTTAATAAGAAAGCTCGTGATAGGGCTTTTTCAATTGCTTCACCATTGCCAAGGTTTTATACAATATACCAATATACAAAATGCTTCTTATTATCCTGGACTTCGTCGGCTTCTAAAGAAAGATTTATCCCTCAACTAGAAATAACTAAGAAACAACAAGCACATAAACAGCAAGGTTTTACGCGCTAAACAAAGAAAAAACATTTTAAACAGAGAATTAAAAATGTTGAGACTGACCACCAGTAGACACTTCCAGATTCCAACCAAGCACAGGTGAACAGAGAACAGGTGTGTATGCTACGCAACTTGTCGCCTGAGAATTCTGGGAAATGTTGAAGAGGATGCTCCAACCTGGAAGCAATCACTGACAATGTGTCATCAACCCATGTTGCAATCTGTAAGAAGAAAAATAATGTTTACAGTAAAACATTAGGAATACTGTTAATATACAGTATTTTATTATTAATATTTAATCAGCATTGTTAAACTGAAGATGGCAGTTGTACTGCAGAAACATTTTGTGTCAAGTTTTTTTTAAAATAAAACAGTTAAGCATGGTCAGTCTGAAATTCTCTGCTATTACACCATCCATTTGGTAATATTTCATTATTATTACTATTATTATCATTTGCAATATTAATATTATATTAACTATATTATTATTATTATAATTATCATTGTTATCAATATTATTTTACTAACCTTTCCAGATTCTGTGACAACTACCCCCTTTTCATTACAGCAGGAGATCTGTGTGATCTTTTCATTTGTTAACCCAAGTACAGCAGCTCTTGGATGGAAAATGCCAGGGTTCTAAAATGAGAAAAACCAAATTCATTTTACATCAAGTTATGAAGTGAATAAGCCTGTCGACTACTACCACATAAACTCAATTAATTGCATATTTTTATATTATCAGAGTTCCACTCAACACCATAGTTGTCTTTTGACTGTCCTTACCTCTGTGTTTCTGTAAGGTTCTGGGTCAGACCACTTCCACTGGTACAGCTGTCCTGATTGGCCAACTGCCACTAATTCACTATACATTGCTGCAATATGACTAAAGCGGCTGCCATTCTCACCCTAATAAAAAAAGGAAGCAATTATTGATGACATCATGAATGCAAACGTTAAGAAGAGCAACCATACATTTATAAGTGTTTATAAGTGTTTGTATATTTATTTGTATACTGGATTAAATGCTAAGCTGTTGGCTGAGATCTATTGTTCCTGCTTCTTGCATTGGAGACCGGTTCAAAACTGGCCCGCGCAGAATTTTAATTCTGTCTTGGCTCCTCGAATAACCCTCACATTGAGAGTAAGGTGGGTTAAGGACAATGTGTCTGTTTATTGTAGGTAAGTCAGGTGGATGTGTCCGTTTCATGTTGTAGTTAGTCGGGTGGCGCTGTCTGCGACTGCTGCAGGTCCCCAGGGCCAGCCTAAATTTCCGATTTCCACTTTGAATAAGGACCAATAAAGATTTATTATTAAATGAACCTTTGTGTATTTAAGTATATCAATGGATATATATATGATCAATTGAGGAATTACCTTATCAGGCCACCACTCTAGGACATCTCCTAGTACAAGTGGATTTGCATTGGTAGAGTTCCCCCTCTTCTGTTCGCTTCCTGGGATGTCTCCACTAACATTAGTCTTAGCTACATTACTGCTAGAGCTGGGTCCTAGACTGGGATCAGGCCAACGTCGCTCTCGTATCCTAAACACTGATTCACGATCACTGTTGTCACGATCACCTGTAAAGTTTGAATTTCAATCATTGATAAGAATCAGCCATAGGGAAAGTTTTAACTTTAATTATCTTGATGATCTTTGTGTATATGATTTAGGGTTTTCTCCATTCCTATATATACAAAAAAACATCAAACTGATTTTTGAAACAAAATTTAAACATGATTCTGCCAAAGAGTGATCGTGATGTACCTCTAGCACGAGCACGGGATCCAAATCCAAGGAAGTCCTCCGAAAACATAGCATCTGCATCTATAATAACGCTAGGGTGATCACTGTGCATACCATTATCAAGGAGGGACATCAAGTCATCTATAAAAAACCAGAATGAATATATGTGTTGTTTTAAAGTTCACTCACATCCGCACTCAAGCCATCAATATCTGACACACATGAAGTGTCCTTCAGATTGTTGTTTTTGGGTGTACTGTTTTCTGACAGATTTGTCTTGGGTTTGCTCTTAGTTTCAGTCATTTTGTCTCAATTGCAATAAGTTACAGTGTATAATATAAATGTCACAAGACTGAACCTAAGACTCTGGTAATGAAAAATGAGCACCATTCCACAGTTTGTTATTTTAATTTTTCACTTATTTTGCGTTTTTACTTACCAGACATGTAGTCGCCTTCATCTTGATCTTCCCCATCATCATCATCTCGACTTAATAGATTATTTACAGCTAAGTTTACATCTAAATTCTATAGAGAAATCACAAAACATATAGAATAAATTTGTCAAAAAATAACAAATTAGCAAAAAAAAAATTTTTTGGAAACTCATTGATTAAAATTTTAAGATATACTTTTGGGATTTTGTTTGCTTTACAGTTAGGATGAATATAATTCTAAAAACAATTATGATGATAATAACATAAATGATGCTAATGATAACAATAGTGATGTGAATGGTTGATGGTAAAGGTGATGCTAATGATAACAATAGTGATGTGAATGGTTGATGGTAAAGGTGACGATAATGATGTATACAGTATGATGATATAGACAGTGACGGTGCCTGCGGGGAGACAGGGGGGCTTAAGTCCCCCCCACCGGACAGGTCAAGCACCCCCCCACCCAACAGAGCTCGTTGGGCAGTCAGACAAAAAAAACATATAAAAATAGGCCCACACCAAGTCAACACATGTCTGTCACAGTCTGAGAGTGCCATTTCTGGCCATCCAGAGGTTGCTATTCTTAAAAAAAATCTCACTTGGGAGGTGAACCCCCTCTCAGCTCCTTCCCCTAGCTCAAGCCTACGAGCTCAAGTCCATCCTGTCGGACAACTTAGCCGCGCCCCCCCCCCCCCCAGAAAATATATCCTAGAGCCGCAACTGGATATTGAATAGTGATGTGAATGGTTGATGGTAAAGGTGATGCTAATGATAACAATAGTGATGTGAATGGTTGATGGTAAAGGTGATGCTAATGATAACAATAGTGATGTGAATGGTTGATGGTAAAGGTGATGCTAATGATAACAATAGTGATGTGAATGGTTGATGGTAAAGGTGATGCTAATGATAACAATAGTGATGTGAATGGTTGATGGTAAAGGTGATGCTAATGATAACAATAGTGATGTGAATGGTTGATGGTAAAGGTGATGCTAATGATAACAATAGTGATGTGAATGGTTGATGGTAAAGGTGATGCTAATGATAACAATAGTGATGTGAATGGTTGATGGTAAAGGTGATGCTAATGATAACAATAGTGATGTGAATGGTTGATGGTAAAGGTGACGATAATGATGTATACAGTATGATGATATAGACAGTGGCGGTGCCTGCGGGGAGACAGGGGAGCTTAAGTCCCCCCACCGGACAGGTCAAGCCCCCCCCACCAACCCAACAAAGCTCGTTGGGCAGTCAGACCAAAAAACATATAAAAATAGGCCCACACCAAGTCAACACATGTCTTTCACAGTCTGAGAGTGCCGTTTCTGGCCATCCAGAGGTTGCTATTCTTAAAAAAAATCTCATTTGAGAGGTGAACCCCCTCTCAGCTCCTTCCCCTAGCTCGAGCCTACGAGCTCAAGTCCTTCCTGTCGGACAACTTAGCCCCCCCCCCCAGAAAATATATCGAGATATATATAGAGCCGCCACTGGATATTGATAATGCTGATGATGACACTGATATCAAATGCTGTCAGCTACTATTTACCAAATGAAATTAACAGTGACTTACAGTTCTCTGCAACTCTCTTATAATCACAGATCTATTCTTGCCTTGTAGTACAACCTGTGCTTGAGCTACCAGCTCTTCAGGAACTACAGAAGCAGGAACCATTGGTCGCGCTCCAACAATCACGCCACCTCTACCCCGGGACTGAGTACGGCACACTCGTGCACGGTTTCTTACATGGCTAACTTGTGGACCGCAAGACTTGCTATTTGATTGTCGTTTTCTGTTTGGAAAGAAAAAATTGATTAAGGTTTTGATATTGTATTTGTCTGTACATTTAGCACAAATAATGATCTAAAATGAAAGATACATAGCAAATTCTTTAAGAGTAATGTCTGTATAAAAGTAATGTATGTGGGCTTTTTAACATGATAATGGAATAGAGCTGTGTTGGTATAAAAGTAATATATACCTTACAAAAATGTTGTAAATAATCTATACATATTTGAGCAAATGGTGCCTTTATATAGATCATGGACACTTACCCTATCTGTGCACTAGTAGAACTATCTGGACCTGCTATTAGCCAGGGATTATGGCCTGGTTTAGGCCGTGCTGATGATGAAGATGATCCAGCTTTGACCTTTGAACTACGGGAGGAGGAAATAATAAGAAAAAAAAAACACAGTACAGCTTACTGTAACTAAAGAATCATTAATATCACAACAGAAATGAGTTTATAGGTTTGTATTAAGGTTGAAACAAAACCATATCCTTGTTGATTTTCATTGATCCACAAAATACTTGAGCGCTTAAAAACAGTTACATTTCAAGCACTAATAAATTAATTTGATACCTTATTATAGCTCTGTCTACTCTATCAAATTTAAAAACAAAAACAATTTACAAACCAGAATCCTGCTGGTGTCAATGTTCCTATGCATGATGCATGTTTTATTTTCAGGCAATATGAGGTTGGGCGGATTTTGTGTTGTGGTGGTTTACCTTGAAAAGTTAATTCTTTGCATTTCATTTCTTTGCGAGGTAAAAACAAAATGTTGGAAAACTTTTTCTGACCCATGCGCAATTTCACTCTAAATGTCCACACACACACATACACACACACCGGCGAAATCTGATTGCAAGAGTCCCTATTGCATTGTATGCATAGGAACTAAAAACTGTTGTATGCCCATATATAGTCATGATGTGCCTATATATGGTCATGATGTGATATCATCAAGACCATAATTAGGCATGTGACAGGTTTTCGTCAAATCAAATGCGATAGCCTGGACAGGGTATAGGTAACCAATCTACCAACCAAAATTTATGGGGTGAGTAATGTTTAATGAATCCTGGAATCAGGCCTAGGCCTATTAGATTGAAAAAAAGGAATCCCCAACCGGCCTATAATTTCAATGTCACTACACTTTGGCAACAGTTATGTCTGCCTTATTATCTGCAAAGAAGGAATGATGGCTGATTCCCAAGACACTTACTTTTTCCCGATGTCAATCTTCCCACCTTCGACTTTATCTAGGTTGACGGAGAATGCCAGGCGGCATATGCGACCATCCTGTAAACATAGAAAAATGTTGGGAAAATGCAATCATGCAGCAGTTGAAGCGAGGCATATGGCAGAGGAAATCAAATTAAGGTCGGGTTTTGCTCAAACTGCAGCATAAGTAGATTCACATTTCATTTTTTACACAGACTATGTTTTATCCTTGAAGTACTATAGGTCAGTGAGCATTACTATTTAATATTTACTGTCAGTAATATCTACCAACATATTTAAAGGGAAATGGGATAATTAAAAAAATATGTACAATAGATCAATGTAGTGACATCAAGGATTTTACCAACACTGTACATAAAAGTACTTAAATTTTATCTTTTTAAAAGAGAATGATTTTATACCTTGTTCAGGGAATCTGCCGCCCACCAATAATGATGATTTAAAATAAAAATAAAATGCCTTGCAATCTCCAAAAATAAGATATTATATATTTCTTCCTAGTTATATAATTAAAAGTATTTAAACATCCTATCATTACACTGTTTATATTCACCAAAATAAAAACATTTTTTTACCCGCCCTCCTCTGACGATCTTTAAAAAATAAGTTTGCAAAACAAGATATAAAAAAGTCTCACCAATTAGAATTGAATTTTATAACTGTAAGTCTTCACCAGTGATTTAAAAGTTTGCATGATAATCCTTAACACTTGTTAATTGTTCTTGTACACTTTATGTTTATATTTCATGTTTGATTATGTAAATTTTTTGTGCCAACATTTTTAATTATTGAAAAGAAATCAAATGAAGTATATTCATTGCATTATTAACCAGCATGTTTTGTTTTGTTATTTTCCTCACAAAGTGTAAACACTACTCTGAAGATGCTGAGGAGGAGCACAGTGTTTGCACAATTTTCTTTTCAAAATGTTATGTTTTAAAAGTCAACCACCAAACATTCATTACGCCACACCACAATACTTGGCTTTATAGTATTCTGATTCAAAATTTCGATTTTTTGTTAGATCATCACCAGGAATCACAGTATTTTATAGTATTCATCATATTATAATTTAGCATTTGTGATTTGGTCTAATACTTGCGGAGACCAAAAAAAGAAACACCACACGTTTCAGCAGACACTGAATGACTGACTCATCCCAAAGGCTTGCTAGGTTTGTTGTATGACTTCTTTCCGGAGGGAATGTTTGAAAATAGAACAACTGAATAAATTTGGTCTCCCATTGCTTCTATCTGTCATGCTTTTGCATCTTTTTCTTTTAGTAAAATGAGGCTTTAATACAAATATAATATTCATTAACTACATTTACCTCAAGGAGAAAAGCAGCATGGTTGGGGCCTAGAACTATGGACTTGACTTGAAGACTTCTCAAAGCAGGAATGCTTGTTTGACTGTAAAAAACAAAAAACAAAAACGGATTTAACTTGTATTTGCCAGATTTAATGGACTTTATATTGCTTTAGATAACAAAATACTGTACTTCTTTGAACAAGTTCAAACCTTTGCACTTTTTGTAATTCAAAAATGTGTGAGCTAATGAAATCTAATAAAAAGTCCATATGGAGGTAATACTGTAAGTGTACTGTAATGAGATAAACATTAAATGCTGCCTAACTATATTTTATCAACTTCTATTTGTAACTGGTAAAAGAAAATGTGTATTTAAAAAAAAATTAAAAATATAATAAATACAAATTTACAGTATAGTAAACATTATTTCATTACTTAGATGTTTATCTTTAATTCAGATAAATTGAAAAAAATATGATCATTTTGGTAACACAATTTTTATTTACGTTTCCTTCTAAAACAATTGTTGTAAACATATTGCCAATTTCAATAGTTTTTCATAATTAACTTACCATCCTGGATCTTTATTAATGCGATCAGCAACTTCACACAATCTGAATCAATTAAGAAAACGTTACAGTATAGTAGTTACAGTAGAGTATGTCTCAAATAATCCTTGCATGGTAATTAACAGTACAGACACTGTACGTCGTAAAACAACACTTGCCATATTATGTTAAATTTAAACATTTTTTAATGAATGGTCCTTCATACAATAAATATAGTTTTTGTTTGTAATTAAACAGTCATGCAAATAAAATGCAATAAAGAAATATAATTCAAGGTTTTAGTTGCCTGGAACAAAGGGTGATAAAATACAATGTTCACAATTAAAGCTTAACTTCATGCATTTGTACCTTTATCTATATCAACAAATTAAAAAGAAAACCATTATTAAAATTTGTTAATTTTAATAAACGTTATTCAACATATTGTACTGTACTTCAGGAGTTTTATTATTACTGTTCAACATTTAAACTTTAAAGACATATAGATAGTCACTTAATTTACTCACAAAAACTTTTGTATTCAATAATAATAATAATAGTGTTCTACAATAAGATCATGATTAAAAGCACCATAAATACAGTACATGAAAAACAGGTTAATATAAAAAACATTAAAAATAGCAAATACATTATAAAAAACACTTAAAACTATCATAAAAACTTTAAAAAGAGAAAACGAGAGGGAAGTGAATACAGTAAAAATAATGTAAAAAAAAAGATCTTAGGATTTATTTAAGCCCTAAAGAGAAAGGAAAAGAGAAGTCGATAGAGCAAAAATAATATAAAAAAAACATCTTAGGATTTATTAAGCCCTAATAACACATTATGTCTCAGGGCTTAATACATAATGTTCTTTAATAAAACACACATTAAAAGCAAATAAAAACACTGAATCAAAATATTCTGAAAAATGTTTATTTACAATATAATACATTCTACACCATTTTTTAAATTGATTACCGGTCAATTCATGGTTTACAAAGTACCTACTGTATTGTATTAGGAATATTAATTTTATTTACTGCAGAGAAAAATATGCAATATTAATTGCATTCTACAGTAGACTATATAATAGACCCATCAATGTTTACATTTCAATGGACAATTTCAATTCAATTTCAATGGACCTGGCTGAAATGCTGACGGCGTCCTAACTGGAGGCAGAAATGATAGCCTAATGTAATACAAGGTCTGGGTTACATCTAATTTTGTTGTATATATGAAAGCTACATGGATGAAACTCATATTATGGCATAGTTACATATATTAGTAATCGACAACAAAAATAATCCTCGCTGCCACGTCAAACTCATGGAGCACAAAACAAGTCCATTAAGCAACTTGCCAAATTGAATACAGTAAATAAAATTTAAAAAGCCACGAATACAGAACAATTAATGGCAATCTTCTATTACAAATTCCATAAAGTAAACAAGCCAATAGAGTTGTTACGTAACACTTTTACTGTCCAATATTCAAGACTGTATACAAGCTTTCGTATGAGAAAGAATGGTATAATCACAAACCCTATAGTATAGGGTCTAAGGCCCAATAAAAAAAGTATTATTTTATCACCCTAGGCTGGAAAAGTAATGAGAGAGGGAGGCTTTTTATTTTGCTAAAGCCAAATATCAGCCCTGGGTTGTTTGCTGATGCATTGATATTCAAAGTAAAATACATGAGTGAGATAATACAAACAATATCTACTAACTATTTAATAAAAATATGAAAAAAAAATTATATATATATATATATATATATATATATTATTTTCACTACCGTACCATCTAGAACACATGGGGGGAGGGGGGTTGAGGGTAATAAAGCTAATGTTTTTCTAGTAGGCCTAGAGTAAGTATAATTAATTGTCCCCTTTCCTGATATATTGTTAACACTTGACCTGACATAATGTGAAGGTATACTTACTACTTACTTTTGAATTTTTGGGAGTTTTTGATTAGATCATAGAGAAAATAATTCTAATAGCCTCTATAAATTATTTCAACATTTAAAAGGGTTACATGTTACATTAAAAGCTTTGCTTCTCATGTAATTCCTTACATCTCATTTTCATATTTCACACATTGTTATAGGCATACTTTTTCTATTGTAATCACACGTTTGTTGAATATTGTTTTAAATGTATTTTTGTAAGACCGCGACACGGGATACGTTAGTGCCATAATAGGCTTAATTCATATTGAAGACAAAGTACTAAATGTTATGATCGGTGAGCGATTTCTCAAGTCTTCATGAACAATGACGTCACACTGGTGGTGGCATTTTATTGGATGATGCAATTTACCGTACCTTTAGCAAACGGAAAATAAACTACGGTAATTTATCCCTAGCCATGGTGAAATTTAAATCACCATTTACAGTAAAATGAAAATTGAAGTGGCTTCTTCACTTCATTGTAAATTTTCTTTTTCATACCCAATTATAACAAATTTTACTTAGGCCTAATATATACAACTTTCCACATTCCTCATTGTACCAAATCCACAATGACTTCTTGAAAAGCTACATACAGGCAGTGTAAGCTTGCGAACTAGTCTAGGCCTAGAGTAGGCTACCCCACTCTTTAAAGCAAGTATGTACTACTAGGCTACTACTAGTCTATGGTAAGCAAGCATTGACATTGTTAACAAATTAAAATGTCGTTCCTAAGAAAAATTTGCTTATAAAATAGAAAAAACAAAAGCAACAAATACAGCTAGTAGTATGACAAAGAACGGCGTTTAATCTAATCTTGCAAATATATTCTTTTTTTAACGTAAATAAAATGGCGACTCTAGGGCCTAGCCTCCTAGCATTGTTGCTGATGTTGCGGGGTGAGTCATCTGACCAGACTGCATGGGATCATCACTCGTTTGTGCTCTACGTAGGTCAGGCCTACGGACATCCCGTAAGTGGACTAGCCTATCGAAGGTATGGCTACAAGAAAAAAGTAAAATTTAGTACCTTTCATTGAGTTGTTCCTCGGTTCCTGGTAATGGATGAAGCACAAAATGAATTGAATTCATCTTGATGTTATCCAGGAATGATAAGAAACAAGAAAAGCGGCCGAAATAGCGTGAAAACTACAATGCTGAGTTAATGTAAACCATTCATCGTCAGTGTAATCATTATCGCACTGGAATACTAACGCCCTCTATTGTTTAAGGCCTTTAAAAAAATAAATTGGGCTTATTCGACTGGTCCATTTCGTTGAGTACGAATTTTCGTTGAGTATTTTTTTCATTCGACTGGGTTGACTTCGTTGACAACGAAAATTAACGTAAACCAGAGTGACCAAAACAAACATGGCCGATTGGAGAGTTTATAAACAACATTTGCTTTAATATAACTTAGATTAAATTTCATTAAATAAAAATTATAATATTTACCCACATGGAGTCAAAAGTATTTGTAGGCTAACAGAATTCAAAAACTGGATGAAAATATTTTTTTACAAAAAACCCATACTACCACAAGTTGAAGCAATCTTGATTACGCAACGTGTATCGCGGTAACTATGTATGAGGCGGCAAGTGTAAATTTATTATTTAACACAATTATTTATATATAATTCATTATTTAACATATACAGTAATTGAATAGATCACCCATTATTTATATATAATGCATTTACGTCTAAAAGATTATATGTAAATAATTGCGTTAACATTTTCATTATTTATATATAATTAGTGTACTGATTTCATTATATATAAATAATGAAAGGGTAAGCAAACTTTATTTATATATAATAAGGTTACTGGTTTCATTATATATAAATAAGGAAAGGGTAACACATCAATATATATAAATAATTAAAAGTAACTTACAATTATTTATATATAAGTTCACTGATTCCATTATATATAAATAATGAAAAGGTAACAAATCATTATATATAAATAATGAAAAGTAACTTACAATTATATATATATATATATATATATATATATAATATAAATCATCAAAGGTACATATATATTATATTATATTTATTCAACAGTGACGCAAATTAATTTTAATTAGTCTCATTGAACTATTATTATTATTATTATTATTATTATTATTATTATTATTATTATTATTACAATATGAGGCTATACGAACGAGCATTTGTCATAACAGTGACGCAAATTAATTTTAATTAGTCTCATTGAACTATTATTATTATTATTATTATTATTATTATTATTATTATTATTATTATTACAATATGAGGCTATACGAACGAGCATTTGTCATAACAGTGACGCAAATTAATTTTAATTAGTCTCATTGAACTATTATTATTATTATTATTATTATTATTATTATTATTATTATTATTATTACAATATGAGGCTATACGAACGAGCATTTGTCATAACAGTGACGCAAATTAATTTTAATTAGTCTCATTGAACTATTATTATTATTATTATTATTATTATTATTATTATTATTATTATTATTACAATATGAGGCTATACGAACGAGCATTTGTCATAACAGTGACGCAAATTAATTTTATTAGTCTCATTGAACTATTATTATTATTATTATTATTATTATTATTATTATTATTATTATTATTATTATAATTGTAATGAAAAGTTAACACAAATATTTCAATGAAAACAATATGGTGGCTAAACCAACATTACATGTAATTTTTTTGTTTATTCCACGACAAAATTTACTCGTCTTCCTCGAAAGGGAGGGTGGGGGGGGGGCTCTGGATTCAGTAATCTGCTGTATCCCTTGCTGTGCCATTTTCGATAGGTGATGGTCTGCGACCTGTAGACCACACACAATAAGCCCTAATTGTAACTTAAAGAGCACTGGTGTATATTTATTACTTCGTATTTTGCATAACGAATTATTTATAAACCATGGCTTCCTACGATGTCATTATTTATATATAATTGGCAGTAAGTAGCCATTATTTAGATATAATAAACTTGAAACGATAAAACGTGTGCATTATATACATATAATGTGTTTTAAGTCCAAGAATTTTATACATATACAGTAATGGTTTTGCGACAGCTATTATTTATATATAATGAAATGTAAAATCATTTATTTATATTTATTGAGTTTGAAGTCAATTCGTTATTATATATAAATAATTGTAGGTTACTTTTCATTATTTATATAGGCCTATAATTATTTGTTACCTTTTCATTATTTATATATAATGGAATCAGTGAACTTATTATATATAAATAATTGTAAGTTACTTTTCATTATTTATATATAATGATGTGTTACCCTTTCCTTAATTATATATAATGAAACCAGTAACCTTATTAAATATAATAATAATGTTTGGTTACCATTTTATTATTTATATATAATGAAATCAGTAAACTAATTATATATAAATAATGAAAAAGTTAACGCAATTATTTACATATAATCTTTTAGACGTAAATTCATTATACACCGTACAAATAATGGGTGATCTATTCAATTATATGTTAAATAATGAATTATATATAAATAATAGTGTTAAAGAATAAATTTACACTTGGCGCCTCTATACAGCCATTTTGTTTTTTCGAGTAATTACAAGTTTTCTATTTGACTGGTCGTATTCGTTGAGTAGGATTTTACCGCTACGCAGGTGGGCGTGGTTTAACGAAGAACGACTTTTCGAATACGGCCATTGATGATGATGACATAGAGATATAATAAGAATACTAGAGCGCTAACCCCAATGTATTCGATGTTCGAAATACGTAGAAAACTGTGTGTGTGTGTGTGTGTGTACCATCCAAGATGGCTGCCATAGATTTAGCCAATCAAATTTCGCTAAAAGCACCATCGTTTGCAACTGCGCCCTCAATTTACTCAGAAAGTTCAGTACAGTTAGTTACCCGTATGTTGAAACTCGAGCGTTGCGGTGTTTGGGTGTAATGTACACGATTTTAATTTTCATTCCTTGGTACTTTATTTTTGAATAAGATGCTCCACTTGGCCTCATTTTGGCTACAATAGTTTAATAGTTTGTTATTACCATTACTCATTATCATTAATGAAATAATAGTCAGTCAGAGGGCTTATTAATATGTAATAATATGTATACTAAGCCTGAAGGTGGCGCTTTACTACGACGGCCATCTTGGATGGTACACATACATAACTCTGCATTGCTGCGCCATCTTGTCAGCACTCTAGTTGTTTAATAGCTCTATGGATGATGATGATGATTTAAATTATAGAGGGCGCGTTACTTGTTTTTTTCATGAAGTGGATTAGTGAAGCTCCTTTATAATAGCAGAATCAGAATACTGGAGTATAGTCATGGGCGTCAATCGGTGGGGGCAGGGGGACACGTCTCCCCACTTTTCAAAGTAGGGTGAATATCATATCAATTGTCCCCACTTTTCCCCAATCTTCTATAGATAAAACCCCACTTTTCAAAGCGAGTGAGAACAACAATAATTACGAATGACTGTCATGAGTTTGGTCTGTTCACACTTGCTCTGTTCCAAATGCGATGCGTATTTCCAGACCAAAACCGAGTAAAAACCGGGTAAAAAACCGAGTAAAACGCAATTTTTGTACATTTCGTAACCATCTCAGTAAACCACTCCATCGATTTTATGGGTGCAACGACAGTACCAGAGGCTTAATTTAGGCCTATTATGAAACAATGTACCGGTACTGTACGATGTTAAAATTGGAAGAGTGTATGTAAACCTTTAGTCCAACTTACATGTCCAGCAGATGAATGAAAATACCAAATCGTAACCAGCCTTCACCATGTCCTCACGATGTCACCGGAGACGCAACTGCCGAAAAACTATTTTTGGCAGCGAAGGGACGCCACCAATAAACAATCAACAAACTACCTGGTTTCTGGGTTGATTTGCAAGGTATTACATGGCTCATCTATTTTTTACTTAAGGCTTAATTGGTAAAAATCGCACACAAATCATACGACGTCACTGACAACGCCGGGGACGGCAACTCGATTCTGAGATTAATTTTTCGATAAAGTTACTACAAATAATATAATACTAAATAACTTCTAATGACGAACTATTGTCTTTAGATGTCTTTGTTGGTTATTCAACTGTCATTTTATCTATTTCTTCGTGATATTACCATTCTCAATAATAGGCTATAAAAAGCCCACATAACAACGTCACGTTAGATCGATCGGTGCGGACGCCGTGGTGACGCCGGTAGGGTCAATTTTTGTCGGAAGGTATCAAGATGATAAACAGTTTCACTAAACTAAATTCTTGCTTATGTTAACCACATGCAGTTTTTTCTAAAATGCACGGAACTATAATTAGTATTTCATTCATATACAAATAGTAAATAGTGAAACGAATCTATTATACTGTGTATGATGATGGTGTTCAGGCATACAGATTTCAAGAAAAATACAAAAACAGCGTAGTGAATAATCCTGGCGTGATTAATCCTGGTGCTTTCTAGACAGTTTTTTTTTTCAAGTTTTATTTACGTACCTTAACGTCACTCCGTCTAGAAAGCACCAGGATTAATCACGCCAGGATTATTCACTACGCTGTTTTTGTATTTTTCTTGAAATCTGTATGCCTGAACACCATCATCATACACAGTATAATAGATTCGTTTCACTATTTACTATTTGTATATGAATGAAATACTAATTATAGTTCCGTGCATTTTAGAAAAAACTGCATGTGGTTAACATAAGCAAGAATTTAGTTTAGTGAAACTGTTTATCATCTTGATACCTTCCGACAAAAATTGACCCTACCGGCGTCACCACGGCGTCCCCACCGA